TTACAAGGAGACGCAAACAGATGCTTCTGTGATGTTGTCTGTTGGCAAAATTAAGTATGTTCAACATATTATAGTATGTTTCCATCATGAAAGAAATACGTGAAGAGAAGGGTGTGTATCACCAAACCAGTTCAAGTACGGGGTCTTGTGTAGACATTTGAGCTGAGTCAGATTTCCTACTGACAAAGTAAAGTAATACTGTTCGCTTAGGGTGAAAGTTGCATATAACTGAAATGACTTTGTTAAAAAATGGGAAGAAAGTTGCTTGTAGTCGAAATTACCTTGTTACAAAGAGGGAGGAAGTTGCTTATAATTGAAATTACCTTGTTACAAAAAGGGTTAAAGTTAAAAGGGTTAACTTTGCTTATAACTGAAATTACCTTGTTACAAATAGGGAGAGAGTTGATTATAATTGAAATTGCCTTGTTACAAAAAGGGTTAACGTTGCTTGTAATTGAAATTACCTTGTTACAAATAGGGTGAAAGTTGCTTATAATTGAAATTACCTTGTTACAAATAGGGTGAAAGTTGCTTATAATTGAAATTGCCTTGTTACAAATAGGGAAATAGATGCTTGTGGTTGAAATCACCTTGTTACAAAAAGGGTGAAAGTTGCTTATAACTGAAACTGCCTTGTTATAAATCATCAGCTGAAACACATTTTTCAAGTTAAGTTACTTCAGTGTTTATACACATTTCTTTATATTTTTTTGTGAAAATCCTTCTTCTATGTTGAATGTGTTATGAATAAGAAACATTTTAGGAACATCCTATGGAAAGTATCCTACAAAACCTCTTCTATGAGTAGGACAGTTTCACTGCTTTGAATCATAAAATGGCCGTTGCACAAAATATTATCCAAAAAATTCAGTTGTTTCTTGTCCACTACATTTTGAAATATTCTAACATTTGATATTTTACTCAAACCTTTAATTCTCAATGGCAAAGTGTAGTTAAGCATTCTAATATTAATTTCAATACATTATACATACTCTAATTAATTTCCAGTTATTTTGAGAATGCAATTGTTAACTTAGAATAAACTACTTAACTAGCACAATTACATACCAGATTGTTGATGCTAGGCTTGGCTTATTTTTTTTCCTCCTGTTGCTTGATTTCCACTTCTTTACATAAAAACGCAATTCCCTCATATTTACATTGGGCACTTGGTGTAAAACAACGATACATAATATCAATAATAAACAATCGAATAACGTAAAAAATAAACTGATAAGTAACTAAAAAAAACATCATTAGATTGTTACCAATAGTTGCCTCTCTGCTTTGTGTAATCGGTGTTTCAAAATTAGGGACGGTACCATGCGATCTGGACGACACGCTGACAAGTGTGCTTCGATGGGACTCCATAATTTTTTAGACGAGAGCCTGTGTTTTGAAAGAACAGGATTGCATAAATTTAGTTTGTTTGTCATTAAGCACA